CTAAGCATATCACATTAAATTTAGTACTTATATATTATATTCTCCAAGTGAACGAATCGCATTGCATTAAAGTATGTATTTTTGTGTTATATTATTATTTTAATATTATATCGAATTGTATACCGACAATTTTTTATGCTTATTGGAGGCAAATTTAGTAAATTTAACACAAATTTGGACAAGAGTATTAAACCACTAACATTAAAAACTGTATGGCTCTATATAATAATATGACGTTGTTTTCTTTTTATCTTTGTTGTTGTTGTACAATAATGACAGAAAATCAATACGCTCATCACCCTTCATATTTGTTAAGTATATAAAATATATTGTACTATACAATTCTAAAACAAATTAACAAGTCATAATAAATAAGTTACAACAATACATACATTTCACATTTAATTCATGTTGTGCATGAACTGATGCGTATACATTCCATATACATGTACACAACTTAAATTTCGAGTTTTACCATCATGCTGTTTTTTTTTTTGTGATTTAAATTAACATAATTTACAAAAAATGGTTCTCAATTATTATTATTTTTTCGTAAGCCGCTCGATTTTTTTCTATAAACTCTAACGATGCAAAAAAAATAAAATATTAATAAACAAGCTGAATAATAATCAGCATTCAAAACTTACGTCCCCGTTCGGGAATCGAAAAATGGCGTCCAAAGTTAGTACACGATATTCGCATACAAACCAAAAGCGCTGATTTTCTTTTTTTTTTACAGAACCTCCGGACCATTTATTTAAACGGATCTGCAATAATTTAGCGGATTCGTGTGCCGGTAGCTTATCCTTTAGGGTCGCCAGAGATGCTAAAACAACCCCCTGTGCCCAGTGTGCCCCCTTTTACACTCTTATAGGACAGTTCACCTGGTTGACATTTCGGAACGTTATAGCTGTATTTACGGTTTAAAACGACTTTTATTTTAAACGTTTTTCTCTATCTCTCCTTTTATTTTATAATATATTTCACTTCTCTATTCTCCCCTGCTGCCAAACAGGCACACATATACATTATATATACACATTGTTTCCTCTCACATACTGTTTAGTCAAACGTCACCAAACCGCTTTCAGAATTTTCTAGTATAATATATTATTATACACACGTCTCACATATTATTATTGTTACGCACTCAATAGTAAAAATTCTCAATCATAACTAAATATAATTTTAACTGTTGTAAAGTTATAGTACCTACGCAATAGGTGTTTTTTAGGTTTCTCTTATGAAAAAAAAGGTTTGTTGTTATTTTTTAATCAATTCTTTATTATGAATTCAGATATATTTAGTTTTCAAATAAGTATATTCGAATGCACTATGTTTACATTAATGTAATCATTAAATTATATAAACTAGTAGCACTCGATTGATTAAGATTCTACTTGGCAAAATAATTTACCTAATCGGTGTGCAAGCTACGGTAGCATAATTTACTGCACAAATAAGATATTGTATACTTACCACTTATTGCCGTACCTATAGTACTCTAATACGTCTTAGTTCTATTCATAGACATATTCATGATTGTACCTATTTATGTAGGTAATAAGTATTACCTATATATAGTTTTACTACCTCCACGTTTTCTAATGACTTTATTTATGTACGCATTTCATCGGATTTGTATTTTCTATATTATGAATATGAATAATTTGCGTCAAATTACGCGTATACAAACTTCTTACTATATTGTTCGTCAATTCTCGTTGCATTTAGATAGATGTTTAACTATCAAATTATGAGTAATATATGTGCTTTAAGTAGATGAAAACTTTCACGTTCGTAATATTTTTTTGCACATTATTTGCATAGGTTGTACAAGTGTCGCGTAATTTGGACGCGGTAAATTGGTCGCTAGGGTAATATCGTCGAGCGTTATTTTTGCATGCTACGATAAATATAATACTTCATTAAAATTATAATAATCGAATTCTCAAATAAATATTTAACATCGACAAAGTAATTAAATGAGTATAATAAGTATAATACTTCATTAAAATTATAATAACCAAATTCTCAAATAAATATTTAAAGTCAAACATTCAAAGTATTGAAATCAATTCTTTAACGTCGTCATAGTAATTAAATATAAAACGTATTCAATATTATATCATAAAAAATGTAATAGTGTATAATAGTGTGTTTGCTGTTCTAATGTAACAAGTATAGCACAAAAATATTCTAAAATGTTAAAAAAAAATACTTAAAATACGGTTAACAACGGAACGCGAAATAGGTTAGTAAAATAGTAAATACAATTTGTTTATTTACCATCGTAACTGTAACTCGAAATAGGCTAAAACTGACTAACGATTAATCGTTATAATCTAATAACATCGATATAATTGTAGTTATTTTTGGTTTGCCATGGCAACATTAACGGTCAGAAAAAATGAAATTTAGTTAATTCAGTTAATCTTTAAGAACTTTTTTGGCTATTTTGGGCCACGTAGGTACGAATCGTAACAATCGTTGATGGTAAAATTACTGTAAAATACCTTGTCGCAGCACAAAGTTCACACGAAAACAAACGATAATATTTTTCTTATCGTGAAAACTTTTCTGCTTTTATTGTATATCCTATATAATATTATACCATACATACTTATAATTTAGATATACGACAGTATATCGTCGTCATCGTGCAAAAAGTTATAAAATAAAAATATTGACGACGATACATAAAACGACCGTGAGGCTCGATGGTTGTACGCAGTGACCAATTTACCATGCCTAAATTACCACACCCAAATTTTATGGAACCTGTGGTAATATCCGTTGCAGAATGCAAGCAAACATTTAAAATTTCAATTCAATCCATGTAGGGTGATTTCTATGGTGATCACCTTGCCACCCCCACAAATCCACCACCGGTAAATTTGAATACTATTTGGCTCAAATTTGTAGGCTATATAATTTTATGTTCACCATTAACCATTACACAAACAATGATTTTTTTTTAATACTGAAAATGATTTATTTGTTATTAACTAAGTGTAATTTCTTTAGCCACTACAGCAGACGCTAGTGTGTTGTGTGTATAAGAAGGGATATTTAGGATACATTTTTAACAAAAAATTTGAAAGTAGGTGACCACTCTGTTATACTTGTCATTATAGTGTACCTTATGTGCTCATCAATGAGCAAGTCATTATAATGTATCATGTATATCTTAAATTTGAATTAAAAAATAAATCATTGCACAAGATAAACGATTATGAATAGGATATAAGGTCTGGACTTCTGACAGCCTTTATAACTAAGTATATTTTATGATAATATATGTATATTGCTATGATACTAATTTATTTTATTATTAGTAATACAGCTGAATTAATTTTAGCTAAATGATTTGCATTTATTATATTAATTGTAATCATTAAAATAGTATAATATAGTATAATACTCTTTTAAATGTTAATATATATTTATATTATAATTTATAACAATATATTATTGTTATTAACTTTTGAGTCAATGCCGACTTACCGTAGAAGTGCAAATAGTGTGAATAAGTTCGTGGTATAAAATATAAATATACAATAGCATAAAATGAATCTTGAAAATGTCCTTGTGTATATAAAATAATATTCTAAAATGATTCAAATCAACACTAAAATTATTTTTGAATAACAACAAGATAACTAAAATCATTATTCTTTATTGAAATATATAATTTTGTATAAATTCGAGCCGACTATATTCAATTTCATACTAGAGAAGATACCGAAGTTGAAAATCAAAGCATTTTACTTCTATAAATTGTTAACAAATACACAAAATTAAAAATTAAAAATCCATAATTTTCAAATCAATACATTCACAGAGTGTTCATAATCTAAAATATTTAGTTATTATTAAAAAAGAAATTAAAGTTCCTCAATCACTATATAGTGTGACCTAAGTAGTAATTAAAAAAACTTACCGAGTTAAGTAAATATTGTTCTTTATTGTATTAAAACTTTTAACTTTTAGAGTTAAATATTATATTGTTTGTTAACTATAACTTATGTATTAACGTTCTTAATGTTGACTAAATTTAACTAACTCATGTTAATTGTTTTCATTAACTTGTCCACTTTTGATTATTTGACCTAAATTCTTCTGGAGTTTATATTATTACTACTAATAATGAAATTCCACGGTTTTTGTACGGAATTGCTTAAATGAATGTTGTAAACAGTAAACTTCGAACAGTCACTTACCTTAAGTCTTGCGCACTTCATAAAAGATACGTCCACATAATTTTCATTATGTACTTATATTTTGAAACAGTGTTGATATTTTAGATTCAAGCAAACACTGTCTAGATAGTAGATACCATACATCCACGACTATTGACTAGAGGGTAAACTATATTGTATACTATATCGTAAAATGACGTAATAGTAACCCAACCCTTATTCCGTAAACTTCTAGGTAAACTTCAGTGTAGAACGTATTAAGCGAATACTAGATGCTATGTAATATTAATAATATGATGAGGAATCTAAATATCTAGTCTTTATCGTTACAATATTAATACTCGTATGTTACATTCCTAGTTAAGTACTTGTACAAGACATCAATTTATTATTTGAATATTTAGATTTTTTAATGGAATGGATTTGTTTTTACACTAATAATATTATACTTTCATTCCACTCACCGACTGGGACTTCAGTGGTAATGCATTATTTATAAAATATATCTTACGCAATAGACATATATTAGTGCGTACATACATATATATATTATTTATTTGTACTCACAGCTTATCTCGTCTCTGCACGGAAAATAATATATGTAACTCGATAATGCGTTATGTGTTATAATCACTTTGTTATCGAGAGTACACTTAAATATTATTGTGTATCATAAATATATAGATGTTATATAATGTTCCTCGACATCCCTCACGTACGGTGTACCTACCTAGTTTTAATACTAAAACGCGTTCCTTTCTTATTATTACCTATTTATATCATTATTTTTTTGTTCAGGCATGCCACAACACACAAAAAATCGCGATGACGGTGTAATCGGCAGTGGTGCCGGTGGCGGCCACCGCCTGATAAGTCTGCTAGTGGGCGCATTATCGGCGGCCACTGTACTGGCCGGCGCGTCAGTGGCATTCGTGATGGTCCGCCGACGTCGGCTGATCCAGCAAGTGTCGCGGCGCAGTCGGAGTTCGTCTTTCCAAGAGTGCACTGGTGACAAACCACATCTGCCACCCGCCATACACCTGACGGTAAGTGCCGAACTTGACATCGTTGGCGATTAATTAACACTCCTTCCCCTACAACAATATTATTATACCAGGTTATTATTAGGTGTCATCGGTAAAACTAATTGAGAGGGGAGGGGTGAGGCAGGGGGCAAAAATTGATATATATTAACCAGGGCTAAACAGTGTTTGTGCACTGTTACGCCGTCTCAAAGCTGGAAATAAACGCTGTTATATTATGCTCATGCAGTTCACCTAAAACGCGGAAGAACGTCCGAAAACGTCACGAAGACTTTTCACCAGTCTCGTGCGTGTGAACGTAAACGGTGAACGCGTTCAAACGATAAATTAAACACCTATTTAAAAAAAAAAAAAACGAATAAGTAGGTAGTTGTCGAAATAAATTATATCAAATACTTTGGTGCTCGCGACACGTACTGTTTTTCCACTGCTATATAATATTATAGTAAGGGCGTTATATTATGCGCGTGAAACCGTTTTATGCGTAAATAGTGTTGAAATAATCCGTGTTTGTGGTTACACAGCCGAGTTTAGGGGATTTTACGTAACCCCGAAATAAATAGAGGGTAATTGTATAATTAAATTATTTTTGAACACAGGGTGAATGCAATATAATATAAAATAAAACCTTTTATTACACGAATCGACATACGTATGTTTATATATATAAATATTATTAGGGCCGTATATAATAAAATGTATAGAAAATAATACTGTTACAGCATATTGTTATATATGACTCTTTGTCCGGTTATATGAAATTAATTGACAATCGTGAAATTTATTTAATTTCATTTTAAACATCCGAAACTAATAAATATATTGAATAATAAAAATAAAATAAAATAAGCAATGTTCTAGAATAAATTAAAAAAGTTGACTGAGTGTTGACGTATTAGCTAACCTAGCTAGGTTATTCCTTATACCTAGTCATTTTACGATTTATACATTTCTGAAATTCTTCATAATATTATCTAAATTCTAAATCGTAAAATTCTACAGATTACCTGTCTTTTTTCAGTATTCAGTTATTATTTACCATATAGCTACTACTAATAAACGGAGCATGGAGGCAGTTCCCACGGTGAACGTGGGTGACCCTGATCCTGTTGTTCCACACTTCTGCGCATGTGCGTAGACGGGTAGACCCCATCGTATTGTGCATAATTAAAACAAAAACAGCATAAATACGTAATTATCGTATTATACAATTATTTATGGGGACGAGGTGGCCGAGCGGTCCAATCGATCAGCCGATCCGGGTTCGATCCTTGGTCACCGGGTGGCATTTTTCTTCGGGCAAGTCACGGTGTCCGGAGAATAAGTGCCGCCATCCCCCCACCCGGGCATGACAGATACCTACGGGTGCCCAATCAAAAACTCTGCCAAACACAAACACTCACGTGTAAAAACTTACCATTCCTAACCTTACCATAACCACAATACAACCCTACAAACAGCTAATAGCCATAGAAGCCGGGCTTAAGGATCAATATAAAAAAAAAAAATTATTTATGAATATTTATTACAAGTTTTAAACGAATTTAACGAACTATAAATAAATTCGTATATACCTACATATTGAGTATTACTTTACACTTGTCTGGTTTTTGATTTCAACGTTTTCATTATATTCACTTATTATAATAATAATCACTGTAATGCAATTCACCGTCACCGCACCACCCATATCCGCCGGCCATACATGCTCCGTCAATTAGCATAAGGTCTATATGGTATTTGGCGTATCTGCCAATTCCTATAAGTGACTATATTAATAATAAAGTTGATGTGTATACGAAATTACGAAACGTCTACAATTTTTATTCAATTGTTATATTTAGGTAACAACAGATCTTAATAAAGACTAGTGATCAGTTAAAATAATATTATACTACTCAGCGGACCGTAATACTCGATGTTACAGTGTACAAGATACGTCGCTTATCCCTGCAGGCGATATTTTGTCGTCCACGGTGTTATCAACCAACCATTTTAGCTTATGTTTGAGGCGTTCGAGCATACTCAAGCAGCTGGCCCCGTCCCAATAATCTAATAATATTATACTCGCCCGGCCTGACTGGGGCAGATAGGTAACTTGCACAGTAGTCAGCATACCTATAAGGCTTTGCACAACGGTTTTCGAACGCAGTGGCGGCGTCTGAACCGAAGTAATTAGGGTCGGTACCTGGCTGCTGACGTTTTCCCAGGGGTATCGCCGCAGCACAGAGCAGACCCACCACCTTCCGGTGTCAGTGGCGGCGGCGTCGGCGTCGGCTTTGGTTACCCCCCCCCCCCCCTCGCCTACGTATCGAATAGCCCGATCTCATTATATACGAGTAGCGCCCGCCACTGAGAGCTGGCCGTAAGTCCCTGCAGGGATATCGCGGGGTGAAATATCGCCTCGGCGTTTTCCTATAAATTATGCGCTGGCGGTCATTGCGCCAACCAGCGCCAAAAGTCCTCGATGTCGCGTATCCTTATAATACGTGGGTAGAGGTAACTGTGTCGTTGTTCTACATCGGCGCCATTTGAAATTACGTGTTAAATACAACTATGCAAAACACACGTCATACTTTATTATATTAGATATTATTGTCATAGGTATACGGTGGAATCTTTCAATATCGAACGTCCAATGTAAAAACATTGCACATCATAATATAATATAATATAATAACGATAATTTAAACAAAATATTTTTAATATTTTAATATAACAATCTTATCATTAATATTTTTGGTTTTTTTTATGCATAAATTCTACATTTTTATTAAATATATATATATATTAGCTGTATAAACTGGCTTCGCCCGGGAAATAATGAACAGACATAAAATACGCCGTAATAGCATTGTGAGTCGTTTTGTGAACTAACTCCACCAAGAATGGACCAGTGGTAGATTTTATATACGACGTGGTATATTTTCAAACATGGTTTAAACAATCACACTTCTGTCTACACTTTACTGAAATCGCTAAAAACAATCTCTGACATTTTTGACAAAATCAGTTGAGTAGTGCACATGTTTAAGCCTATAAGCTACAATTCTACAAACATTCTACAACATTGCCTTTTGATGTACATTTAAATAATAAACAATAATTTATTATTATTTTATTTTAATTTGAAAAAAATCCCATGGCAACACATATTTCTGTAACCTATCGCAGCCCTATTATAAATAATCAAAAAAAATATTCGAATTTCGTTGGCTAAAACGCAACTCATATGCGAGCCACCATACTGCAACCTATATAGGGGTTGAAAAAGAAACTAAAAACACCCTCAAGGGTTCATCTAAAGGAATCTATTGATATAAATTATATTGAAATCGGTCCAGTAATTTCCGAGTTTACCCGTTAGTAGAAAACTCATTTCACTTTTATATATTTTAAAAAAGTTTTACCATTTTTTTTTAAATTGTGCCACTGGTGTATTTCTATTTATCTATCAATTTTTCGAAGACAGGAGTTGGATTCATAAAAACTATACTTAAAACCTGCTCCGCGGTGTCATCTATAAATAAAAACCCCCATGACGATTGGATGAGCCAACCTGTAACAAAAACACACTTTTCATACTTATAATAAATATGTATAAACAGATATTAATATGTTCTATAAACGTAAATCAAATTTGCATTGTAAGTAAGTACTACATTATTAATTTTTTAGTGTTCCTATTTTAAGGAGATTCCGTAATTATTGTAATTGTCCACTGTTATTATCTTCATACAAACTAAATAATGCATTTATGCATAGCAATGTTTGTACACAGTATATATTATTATTTATAATAATAGTATAGGAAGTAATGTTTTAATTAATTAAATAATATTTTGGAAGGTATAGCCTGCATTTGGAAAGCTTCCACCCACATGATATAGTCTTACTGATAACAATCGATTTATTAAATAAAGTGATGGTCCATCATGAACATTCCAATACATTGTATACCATTTGCGTTAAGCATTTAACTTCAGAGACCAACACGTGAGCAGGGGCATGGCAGGCGTACAGACTTGTATAGTTAAGTGACTTAAAATATACTTTCTTTCGTACTTCACATAATTTGCAATTCATTTTGACCATTTTGTTGTTGTTTGGTTATTATTGTACCGGGCTACGAGTGTAGAATGCCACATGGTAGGCGGAGCCATTACCATCAGTCTGTTTGTTATTGTTGACGAGTGTCAAAGTGCGTTCCGATTTTTCCGTTCGTTTTGTGAACATTTTTAATCACGCTACAAAATAGCTCGTCGTTTGCTAATACCTAAATTATGCATAGAAAAAAGGCACCCAACTTGTTTTTCGAATTGTTTAAATTATAAATACCGGTAGCCGCGTGCGTGTTATAGGATCGGTGCAAAATATTGTACCCACCGCAGCCGGTATCGAGTAGAAAAATAAAATAAAACAATAAAATAATATTTTGACTACCGATAGTTAATAGGTTTACTAATAATATTATAGGTAATCGTCATAATAATAATATTATGAACTTTATATATAGTTATAAATAGCATAATTTTATTGTATTACACATATGAGTGTATAATGAGTTCTCATTCATATTATATTTGTGCTTTTATATTTTCAAATAATTTTCAAATGATTTTTATTATCAAATAGTTGGATAGAGTTAGAAGTGTTTAAAGAATAGTAAATTATTGTAGGTACTAACTTCTAACTACATATTTTTAGTTTAAAATTTGTAAACCCTGAATTCTAAAAAACAAAGGAATGTACTAACTATTTTTTTCTTTCATTTAAATCAACCACAAAAATATAATAGTCACAAATCTGGCCACCAAATACAATAAAATCGGATAAATAAATTTGCTACGAAAATGTTATTTTCAAAAATGGTCTTTATTTTGGTGATAATTAATTAATAATTATATTATGTAGGATCACCTGCTATTTCCAAGTGCTGTGCATGAGCTTAAACACTTCTTCTGAGTCTAAATCTTACTAATATGATGTAATGTTTACTACAT